GCATGTCGCTGCAGTCCAACCAGACACCATTGTGGAAGACCCGGCAGCCACCCAAGCATCACGTGAGGGAGATCAGGTGGCCGTTGTCCAGCCGCGAAGCAACAACAACTCCCGAGGAAAAGGGAAGGCGAAAACCGCATCGCTGGCCGGAAATGGACAGCCAGTACCATGGGTCAAGCTCAACTTGAATGAGGCCGAATACAAGTACCGCAACCGATACGGCTGCTGCTATTGGTGCCACAGCACCAAGCAGAAGACCTCCCACTGCCAGGATCAAGGCAAGGAGGATGTTCGGCCTCGCATCAACTCGGGAAACTGAGTTGCACGGGAGGTGAGGCGACTCCACCTCTCACTCCGCCAAATTCGGCCGCCTTGCTAGCGGCCTCCTACACATCTGGGGAGAATGCGGATGTTGCGAGTCCTCGGTTCACTTACGAGGATTACGCTGTCCACTTGGTCCCACCGTTGGACCAGCCACTTCATGTGCAACAATCCACCGCATGCACGGTTTCACCACCATCGGCAACCGATTCAGCAGCTTCGTCGCCAACTAACGCCGGGGATTCGACGTCATGGTCAAGACTTCAAGAACTTGACCCGTTGACGTTCACGGACTTCCAATGGATGCCCCTTCCCACGTTCGGTCGATTGCCAAAACCGCATTGCAACTTGCTCATGGCACAATTGCGGGATTACTTGCACACTACAGTACCAGCTCCGTTGATGGACGCTGGAGTAGAGGTTATTGACCTTCACGACTACGTTGCGAAGATTGACCGCGAGTTCAAGACACAACGGTACGACGACATCGACGTGCCATTGTTGTACAAACGCATTCAGATCGGAGAGGCGACCTGCAGCGCTTTGATCGATTGCGGAGCTACTCACAACTATATGAGCCAACACTTCATGGTACGCGTTGGCCTTGGGCCACGCGTTCGGAGGAAGTTGCAGCCCACTCAAGTCACGTTGGCCGACGGTCACACGCACAAGTCCATCGACCGGTGCATTGATTCCGTCCCCGTGTACTTTGCCCCACATGCAAGCGAGGTCGTGTCCTTCGACATTTTGGACACGAAGTTAGCATCTGCACCGCTAATCTACGCCGACTACAAGCGACGAAGACTAGCTAAGGAAGCTTCACAGCATGCCCCTCCCACCCGGACTTTGGTCCCTCCCTCCGACAGACACCTTCGCCCTCGCAGGTAAGCTCAGTCTTTCAAGGAGGGGGGGGTGTGGCATACTGCGCAGCCACACGGGCCTGCAGGGCCTGACCAAACGGAAATTCAGGGCCCTACAGGCCCTGTGTCGTTTGAGCCTAAAAGCCTGAAAACGAGGGCCTACAGGCCCTGTGTTGTTTCAGCCTAAAAGCCTGAAAACGAGGGCGGCCTACAGGCCATGTGTCGTTTCAGCCTAAAAGCCTGAAAACAAGGGCCATTTTCAGGCCCTCATAAAGTCGACCTACCCTGAAACTTAGGCACCAGACCAGGGTTTTAGCACAGGCCATTTTGGGCCTGTTTTCAAGACAACCTTTGTTTGAACTTCAACGCCAGGGTCTGGCACATTTTGGCATTGGCAAGAGCAGCCTCCTGGACGGGCCAGCACTATATAAGACTGGCCCGCCCTACAGGCTGCAGGGAGGGGACTTCCCAGGCACTTCACGTGCAGGAGGCAGGAGGCAGTCTTCAGGATTCGGCAACAGCATTCTGAAGGAGCGCTGTAGTAGTAGTAGTAGCGTTAGCAGTAGTCTTCAGCGTTGGGCGCTATTAGGAGCTAGAGTAGCGTTGGAGAGAGAGAGATGGTGGGCGGAGGCCAGGGAGACTTACCTGTGGCGCCATAGCTCCAGCTTCGTCTTCGATGTACCTGCAACAAGGCGCCACCTTCACAGGTTAGTACCGGACTGAGGCAGAGAGAGAGGGTTCTTCTTCTTCCTCTTCCGAGTCCATCTCTCCCTCACCCTCTCGCTACCTAACTTCTGAGTATCTGCAGACTACGAGAGAGAGAGAGAGAGAGATTGGTGACTTTGGGACTTGACGACATTTGGATTCAGACTCGACATTGGGATTGAGACATTGGACGAGGTATTATTTGGGACCTGTACCGAAGACTTGGTGTTGACGACATTCCCATCTTCCCCTCTTCTTCGTCTAACCCCCCTCCTCTTCGTTTGTGTATGGTTGGGGACTGGCGCATTCTTCCTGTGTGAGCGCCAGGCCCCTTCACATCATGGAATGATGATGATTTATGTGTGGTCTGCATTGCAACATTGATTGTTCAGATCATTGGTATATTAGCCTTCCGCTGCGCTATCTTGTACTATGTGAGAGAGGTCGGTTCTTGTTCTGGTCTGCACCTTTATGGTATGCGACAGAAGAGAGAAGAGAAGATGACACGCCAGACCCAAACGTGACTTGATTAAGATAACGTTGAAGCACAAAAGACGGAAGACAAGCTTCCGTTAGGCGTTAGTGACCGGACCGGTTTCGCCTGGCCGCCTGCCAGGACTCATCAAGGGTCATTAAGTCGACTTGATGAACTCTAGACTGTCTACAGTATTAATAGTTAGGCACAATCTCCGCCAACCACGACTCAACTTGACCGGTACCTGTCATCACACAGTCACAACCACTTTTTCCATCTTACACCGCAAGTCTTTAGATCGAATCACACATTGATCCCTACATCCTACTCATCACCCGGTAATCCCAGTAGTATATTGTACTGTTGTTACGCCGGTACCTGGCTCGAGGCCTAAACCAATTCGTGGCCTTAATAAACCAGAGCTGGGATCGAGCCCCCCCAACAGACCCTCATACTACTTACAACAAACCGGAACTGAAAGAACAACTGCATCCTACCGAGCAGAGTTCGAAACCTTCAACAGCTATCTCCCAATCTACGCCATACCCCCTGACATAAGCCGAAATGACTTTTACCCCCTAAAACGGGCAGTAACTCGACCCCTACCTTAGTCTCAGTGGACGGCCCCATCCTGTTAACACGGGAGCCACTCTTTCCACAAGCCACCAAACTTCCTTGAGAAGTTAATCAATGTACCATAAAAAAACTCGTCTGGATATCCTCTTTTCCATAACTCATTCTTCAACGAAAACAAAAATGGAGTTGCCATGTTTTTTATTGACAAATACGCTCGCCAGCGAGTTATATCCTTATGTTTCAGGATCCAATATGCTTCCCCAAATTTTCCTTCGTTCTTCCAACGACCCACTTGTGCCAAATCATTCCGAACATACTCTAGCTCACACCTCTTAGTTACCACACTTGGCTTTTCCTCACATAGCCGAAACGACGGGTTACCAACAAAGAGCTTCATCCGACCTGATTGAATACCCGATCCTGCATATCCTTTGAACCCTAAACCCTGCCTATACCTGCAATTCGCATATTAGTCCATAACTTAGTGTCTTTTTCTCAGATCAGATTTTGTTTTGGATTTGCAATTCTGCATATTATGATATTAGTCCATAACAATTTTTAATATTATTTTCTTTTCAGATGCGAGGACTTGAGCCCTCGGCTTGAGCTCGTAAAGGGCCCTGCCCTAGGGGAAGGTGGCCCCTGTCCTACACGTGCAGCCTGTTTTTCTTCGCTGGCCAATTTTCTCGTGTGCGCAGGCCCCCCCTCGCCGTACAGTTAAGCAGTGTTGGGAGGTTGGCATCTTGCCCCGGCCTAGGGGGACAACTTATGGGGGGCAACTTCTGGAAGGACCCAGCGTTGAGGCTGTGTGACCACGCCAGGCTCTGAAACCGCGAGGCCCCGATGTGGCGTGGAGCCTGTCGGCCAATGAGAGAGCACCAAACAGCAGAGGCCGTGTCTGGCAGTTGAGCCCAACAATCAAACGGGACCCAGGGCACATTCTGGAAGGGCCCTGGGCACAGATACTGAGTCTGTCTGTGAAGCTACTGGGACGCACACGCAAGTGGCCAAGGAGGGCCCAGGCAGTCACACACTTTCCATAAAGGAAAGTGACGACCCCCAGTCCAGACATTCATGCTGTGTGAGCTCTGCTTCAGCGCAGGCTTACTTCAAGCAGGGCGCCAGCTGGGAGGTACGCGTGCACGCGCGCTGGTGCTGAGCGCTGCTGAAGGCAGCGCAGCATGGCGGCCATAGCCGCTCTGCAAGTGCATGTAAGCCGGTGGAGTTGGTCATGGTCCTTGGGTATGCCGGTCAGCCTGTGATGGGACAGTCAGGGGATGAGCTGAGGAGGGAGAAGGGACCTACCTGTTGTGTCATGGAGGTCTGCATGGGTGATGTCTTCATGTACATCAGTCCGCTGCTGATGTGCTTCTGGTTGCATCAGGTAGTATAGGCTATCATAGGTGTCGTGAGTCTGTAGTTGGGTGCCAGGCGCCATAGAGAAGGGCGACATTGGCTACATTGTTGGTGGAGGCGAGATTGGGCTGACATTGACAATTGAGCTCATTGCTTTGCTCTTGTTTGGTGTGTAACTTGGTGCACTCTGCTTTCTGCTTGGCACAAGACTATCTGGTTTTCAATGTGATGATGCAATTCTGGATCTCTGTCATTCACTCTCGCTCATTTTCCTTGCACAGATTTTATTTTCTGCGCTGGGGCTGTCCAGGACATTGAGCCCCGACCGGGCCACCTGGGCCAGTCAGAGGCAACCTGGGTGGCCCGGCTGGTCTTCCAGGTAATTACTCATTTGAAATTTCTGATTAACTTCTAGATGATCTAGTAATAACTTAATAAGTAAAATACTAAAATCCCCATTAATTGTGGTTTATCGGGGAGCCAGACGTCCCTCTGCACGTTCAGCATGCCTGCTGAACCGGTTTGATGTTTTTTTTCTTTTTTTCTTTTTTGAAGTTTTTTCCTTTTTGATCTCAGAGCTTATGCTGAGGTTTGTGCTGGACCTCTGGACTCATCTCCTTACTCTGTGGCCTCCTCTGGACTTTCTGCTACTTCTTCACCCGAATAGAACGCCCGGTCATTATAGCTGCATTTGGCACAACTTTCAGTCCAGATGCAGCGATAATTCCGGGCGTTTTATTCGGGTGAACACAGTAGGCATGGGCTGTGTGTAGCTTCTAGGGGCAAATCAGCAAAAAGATGGCTGCAGACGTCATTGGTGATCTCATCAAAATATTTCAGCCAAAATCAAAACGGCGACCGAGCTTTGGGCTTCAGACAGCTGGATGGAAGGTGTATGAAGGACCTGAAGCGAAAACGGTAGAAGCTGGACGCACAGGTACATCGTCTATATGCTTATCCCTATCCTGCTTGCTCCACTGGAAATGAATCAAATGATCCTTTCGTGTTCTTTTTTTTTCTAGTAAAACCTGGATGGTGTAGTCACCCGCATGGTCGGCGGCCCTCAACTGGTCGGCAACCGACCAGCGGACGTGGCCCACCCTGCCGGCACCTACCGGTTGGCTGCTGGTCAGAACCCTGCAAAAAAAAAGAAAAAGCATGACCACCATAACCTCCCCATTTCTCAATAATCCGCCCTAACCCCAATAACCGCCCCATAACCCCTTTCCCCCCCCTCCCCCCCTATCCTCCCCAGCATCCCCATAGCCCCTTCCCTACTCTCCC